CGGGGAGGGGGCTGCAGGGTGGGGGAAAGAATCAACGTTGGGGGAAGGGGCATTGCGTGCGTATGTGTGTAAGTGAGTATGTGTGTGCGTCGTCGCGTGTGAATATGTGACTGAGAAGCACGCGGTTTAAAGGAGGTGTGCATGTGTATGTGTGTGTATATGTGTGTGTGTTTTACACTGTGGGGAGTCTCCGGTTTTTGTAGAGAGGTGTTGGAAGACACCTGCGTTGTGTCTGCGCGTTTTCTTGTGTCTTTGCTCTTCGGGGTTGTTGCAAGGATCCCCGTACCACTTTTGAGAGCGACGCGGTGCACTTTGTGGGTGGTTATTCCTGCTCAAAAAGGTTACGTTTTCCTTTTAGCTGCAAAGCAGCGGACGGTTGTGTAATTGCCCTGCGAGCCACGCGTGTTTTTACCAGCACTCTTTGAGCGATGGGCCAGGTTCGTCACATGAACAGGGATCCTCTGGGTTGGGAAATGTCGGGTTGTCAATTCTCAACTAAACTTAATCCTTCGAGTTCAGGTAAGAAGAAACAGAGAGGCTAACTGAACGTGGTTTATTGTGAGAGCAGAGTCAGCGACAGCAAAAGCAGGTTCAAGCACGCCCAGAACCCCGCAGCCTTAGTTGCTGTTCCTTCTGCCCGCCTCGATATCTGCCTTTAGTACTAACCGTAGGACTTCAACAAATGAGAACTATTATACATAATTTGGCCATGTACAGTAGGCATAACTTGGCTGGCCGCTGGCGTTCATCTTGCATACGTACCGCGCCTTCACGTGTAAGGTAACGGAAGTGGATGCATGACGGCTCATACAATGTGCACTTTAAACTACAAGAATTGTCGAAACGCAGCGTGGGGGACACTGCCATGCCCGAAGGTGCCGTAACCGGGAAAGGACTCTTCCAGTCTGTATCAGAAACTGGTACAGTAGACGATTAAGCACAAAGAAACGTTTCGCTCAATCTGTACACATTAGGTTGGGACTGTGTAGCCTTGCAGAGCATTTATTTGTACGACACAATGCTGTCGATCCTCGATGTCACCATGCTATTCACCCAGCCGTTTTTTCTAACATCTACAGAAGGCGTGTCCTCGAAAAGCTGCTTAAACACTTCTTTGAACTTTATGTGCATTAGTTTCATACCTTTTGAAGGGACCTCGAGGTGAGGTAGAGCGCCCTTGCACTCCAGCTTCCTCTGCATTTCCTTAAAATATTTTTGCTTCACATCACCTTAAAATGCTGCACAGTATATGTTACAAGGAAAAACTACTGAAAAAACCATGGTGGTGAAATAGTCCGCATCGGCAAACTTAAAATTGCCAGAACCTTTCCCCGTGGCGCTGGCAACGAGGCCATGGACCTGGGATTCGCCTACAAAATCATGCGGGCGCGTGCACCGCCGGGCTATCCACCGCCCGCGACCGCTGGCCCGGGCGAGCCAGCTGCTCCCGCCTTGCCCACCTGCGCATCCGAACTGACGGTACGTGCCACCTCCCACTCCTCCGCGTCCCTCAGCTAAACCACCTCATCCTCCTCGTCCTCTGTAGTCCCGTGCCGCCCCTCTGACCAAGTTAATAAAACGACATCCCGCTTCCTCCGCCTCCGCCTCCTCCGCCTCCCCCTCCCACGTCCCCCACCCGCGAAACGCCTCCAATATTTCCCCCTACTCGCCCGGCCCAACCTCCGACTTACCCCAAAGGCACCCCAAAAACCTCCAAAGCCATAAAAGTACTACAACTAACGACCCCCTCCCCGCCCCCTCCTCTAACGAAACCTCCATACCCCCGTCCAGGTGGCGGCAGCAGCCGCAGCAGCAGGCGATCACTCCTCCCCCGCCGCCGCCGCCGCCGAGCTGCAGCGCTCGCAGTCCAGTCGACCCCGCCGCTCCCTCAGCGCCGCAACGCTGACGTGGGCTCCCGTACTGGTGGAGGAGCGCTCCCTGGATAGGCCTCCGGTGCCGCCGGGGGGGTCTCCAGCAGTTGGGCCCTCGGCCGGGCCCGTCAGCCCCCCCGGTCACGGTGCTGCTAGCCCGGGGGAGGTACGACATTGCCTTAAGTGTGTATGTATGTGTTATGTATGTGTTATGTATGTATGTGTGTATGTATGTGTTATGTATGTATGTATGTATGTATGTATGTGCGCGTGTATGTGTATTGAAATAGGCCAGCATTACCCGGCGTTTGTGTGTGTTATGTGTATGTATGTCATATGTGTGTATGTAAGTGTGTTTCCAAACTCTGAATAGCCGCGATTGTCACCATAGGGCCCATCCGCGGGTTTGGAACACCTTTTTTCGACACCACCCCGCACCCCCGCACCCCGCATACCCGGAAGACACCACATCCCCACGTCCCATCCTGGGGCCCATTCTCCCTCCGACACACACACACACACACGCACACACACCGTGATATGTATTTCATGGTGTCGTATACGCCGTACATAGCTTGCGTGTCCTTCACGTGCGTGTCGTACGACTGGGTCCGCTGGCGCAGGCGTCGTACTCGCCTCCGTCGCCGCCGGTCAACCTTGGTCCGCTACATCTCGTCCCGCGGCCGTTGGTACCCTCGGCCAGAGGTGTGACCATCGGGCCATTTGTGGAGGCACTGGCCGCCGTCGCCGCCAGGCCGCCGCGCCGCCGGCCCGGCGGGGTAGACGCGTCGGCGCTGCGGCTTCTAGTGGGCGGCAGTAGCGGCGGCGGCGGCGGCGGCGGCGGCAGTCCCTCTCTCCCGCCGCCGCTGTCGCCGCCGCCTGCCTTACCTTCGTCCTTCCCTAGCTCCCCGCCCCTGTCGTCCCCCTCTCGGGGCCGTCATCCTCCCCCCCATCACCAACAGCACCACCAGATGGTGCATCAGAGCAACAACCAGCAGCAGCAGCAGCAGCAGCAGCAGCAGCAACAACAACAGGGCGCGTCGGTGGCACTGGCCGCCGCTGCCGCTGGGGGCGGCGGCGGCGGCGGCGGTTCCAAGCGCGCGCGTCACCTTGCGGTACAGCAGCAGCAGCAGCAGCAGCAGCAGCAACAACAACAGGATATGCTACAGCTGCCCCGTGTTGCTGGCCAAAAAGGCGGTGGGGGGGGAATTTTGAAGCAACCGCAACGTGGCGGTGGAAGT